GCAGCTGTTCCGGGAGGCAGTGGCACCTGCTATCGAGAAGGACTACAGGGACGGCACTTTCGACCCGGAGCAGCTGGACAAGTACGGCTTTGAGCCCACGCAGGAAGGCAAGCTCTTCCAGCTGTACCCCAAGAACTTCCCGCGCTAGGAGCCGAGGAGTGGCAGCCGCTGGGTGTGCCTGTGGACTGCGTCCGGCCATCGCCCCCGACCGCTGGTCCCGGGGTGGGCGAGCGGGGAGGCATTTCCTTCGTTTTGTTCCTATTAAAGACCTTAGCTACCGTCCGGTGTTGGTTTTGGCATCTGATCATTGTGAGATGAAAGGGTGCAGCATGATAGATCCAGGTGTAGTGAGCGAGGCAGAGCTCGCACAGAGGCCCTGTTCCCGGTGAAACTGGAAGCACTGTCTTTCCAACCAAAAAGTTCTGGGGAGGTAGGCCAAGGGCGAGAAGACACGGAAGGAGAATTCACAAGGCACATGGTGCCACATGACAACACTGGTTATCTGTCCCCCCAGATTCTTCACTCCCGAAACCAGTCAGCATATTCTTTATGGGTTGAAAAACAACTATTCTGGGGGCAAAACCTCCCGTAGTCTACAGTCTCCCCTCTGGGTTCCCCGGTTTCAGTGCATAGTCCCTGAAGTCTTACATATTCTGCTTCATATTTAATTGACCCTTAGTTAAATACCATTAACACAAACTCTTAAGGAGGGTTCAAATTCTTGTGTTGAAATAAATGCACGATTAGCTGGGAAATGATCATTTTTACAGAGTAATTTCTTACATGTTCTGACCCTATATTTTCATCAGAAAATAAAGAATAGAAGTGTGTGTTTTCTGACTCTGATCACCTACAACAGAATATTGGTAGAAATTTGACAAATTCTACACTAGCCTGCACTTCAACTACTGTTCCTTCCAGAGAGACAAGAATGAACTATGGGAGTCAGATGAGTCACAAACCCAGTTATGTTCTTGGAGTTAGTATGTGTCCAAGCTTCGGAAGCTACTCAGGTTACTAACGCCACAATGGGGAACATTTCAAGTTTATGACACGCTAAGGCAATTCAATGTGTGTAGGCTTCCTTTTGTTTATCTGCATAGGAGGCTAATACGAGCACTTCTGGTGCCATAATAAGGTGATCTTTGGTTTTTTTAAAGTTTGTTTATTGAGACAGACTGCATGTGAATGGGGGATGGGCATACAAAGAGAGAGGAAGAGAGACCATCCCAAGCAGGCTCCTCGCCATCAGCACAGAGCCCGATGTGGGGTTTGAACTCACAAACCTGTGAGATCGTGACCTGAGCCAAAGTTAAACACTTAACCAACTGAGCCACCCAGGCGCCCCCAATAGGGTTTATTTAAGAGAAGCCAATAGCTTTTTTGACTGTTTACACTGTGGACATAAGGTACACTGAGCCCTATACAGTCACCTGTGGAGACTACAATAGGAATCTCAATGAGACAGTCTGACAGCAGTTCACTCACAAAGTTGCACTCTGGGCTTTCTTTGTGGAAATGGTCTTTGACTTCAAGCCAAGCAACCTCTTCCCCAGCTCAGATGTTTTCCCACTTCCAGAGGTGAAGGATATGATCATAAAAGGAGCAAGTAGTTAGGAAGCTGATGTCAAAGTTCGCTGCTTCCAGATAGAGGTCAGAGTCACAAACCTTGGTCCCTGCAGTGTGCAGCTGGCTGTCACTCTTCATCATGTCCTCTGCGAGTGCCTGGACAGAAGTCCTCGGTTTGCTTCCGCTCTGAAGTATGGTATGACCTTCTTCATCATTCTCTGCTAAATGATCGTAAGACGGTGCTGGTGACTGGTGCACAGCCTTCAGGTTTGAGAGATGTGCTTCTTTGGCTCCTGAGTTGCTGCAGGGAGAGGAACCTGAGCAGCATGACTGGCAGGTCTGTAATGGATTGTGGACGTACAGCCAGGACCAGTCGGCTCCATACACCAATGAGTTGGGCAATGTGTGGGATGCAGAGACTGTGCAGGCTTCCTGCTTCTCCTCTGGAATGAGACAGAATACAGGAAATGTGACGTTAACCCAGGCTGATCTCATCACTACCAAATGATGGCCCCTGCCCACTCTCAAAGGGAGACTTTGCTAAAAGCAGTCACTCATTTGTCAGCAACCATTGTGCATGATGCAAAGGAATCCTTGAGACGTGGAGAGATGAGAAGAAAACAGACCTTCATCTGGCAGTGAGTACACTGTGGTGCCTAACAAAGGAATCGGCCTGGCTACAGAAGCACAAGGGTGACGGTGCCTTTCCAAGTTGGAGGACTTGGCAAAAGCTTCAGTTAAGACTTCAGAGCAGAGGACAAAGCAGTTAGCCAGATGGGAGAGACAGGGACGCATGAGAAACAGAGAACAAGCGTGTGTAAGGTAACAGGACACATCTGGGGAACCACAAACAAGTAGATGTGGCAGAAACGCCATCGGGGAGTGGCGACACGTGTCTGGAGGGTCAAAACCATACAGAATTCAGCGTGCTCTGTAAAGTCTGGATTTGAGCTTGGAAAGGACTCATTGGAGTTTACGTGGTTTTCCTTCTGGTGAGTTGCTATAGCAACTTTGAGGGTGGAGGACAAGACTGGAAAGAGGTTCAGCTGTGGAAGGTTTGAAAGCAATATTCGACCAGAAAAAGAAATGACAAGGTGTTGCCAAAGCTTAGGTAATCTAGGGTCCAGGGCAAGGCCAAGCATGGCAAGAGCAGTCATAAAAAACTGGTGGCCAGTGACCTGGGGATGTGAACTTAGAAAACTGTCACCAGGTGAAAGGCCTGTTGGCCATTCAGGTCTTTAGTAAGCCTGGACAGCTACACACTCTGAAAGGGGTGCCACTGATGCCTCCCAAGTGCAAGGGTCCAGGCCAGAGCCATCAGAAGTGCAATCAGAGGGGCGCCTGTGGGGCTTAGTCAGTTAAGTGTCTGATTCTAGATTTCAGGTTAGGTCATGACCTCACGGTTCATGAGTTCGAACCCCCTGTTGGGCCTGCGCTAACAGTGTGGAGCCTGCTTGGGACTCTCTTTCTTCCTCTCCCTCTTTCCCTACCCTGCTTGTGCTCTCTCTCTCAAAATAAATAAATAAAACTTAAAACAAGAAAAAAAGGAAGAATAACTGCAATCAAAATGAGCAGTGATGAAGAAAGGCCAAGAAGTGTAGACCAGGTCAGTGCTGGAACCAGGAAACGCTGAGAGTGCCACCAGAGCACAGGAGATCCTACTCCCGAAGCCAGGGCTTTGCCTGGACAGAAGAGGCTCCAGAGAGGAACCAGATGCTGAACGTCCCCAGACAGCCAGGAAGGCACTCAGGCAACACGAGCAAGGGAGGGAGCGCCCCGGACCATCACTGTCCCTCCATGGTAGCCTGGATGGGACTCAGAGACAGGGCCACAGGGCTTTCCCACCCAGGACCCCATTCCGGGCCCCGAGTCAAACAATAACAAAGAGCATATCTCCTACCCAAGTGCACACAGAATATTAACAGATCATGTTAAGCAACAAAGAATCAAAAAGTTCCACAAAGGAGAAATAGTACAAGCAAGCAACACTCTCTGATCATAATGCAATAAAAACTAAAACTAACACAAAGGGACAAAAAAGTCCTTCTACCTAAAAAATTTAAATCCTCCTACGAAACCACACTTGGGCAAAAGGGAAAGTACGAACTCAAGTCACAGAATTTCTTTTGAAAAATGAGATCATTACATCTCACAACCTAAAAATATGCTTGAATCAGAGAACATTTCAGACATAAGAACACTTAATGCAGGGGTGCCTGGATGTCTCAGTCGGTTAAGCGTCCAACTCTTGGTTTCAGCTCAGCTCATAATCTCATGGTTTGTGGGATCGAGCCCCAAGTCAGGCTCTTCACTGACAGCTCAGAGTCTGCTTGAGATTCTCTCTCTGCCCCTCCCCTGCTCGCATACACAAGCACTCTAAATAAATCAATAAACTTAAGAAAAAAAAAAAAGCTTAATACAAACACAATAATAAAGAAAAGTGAACTGTACTCCCAACTCAAAATGCTAGAAAAAGGAGACAAAGGGAAACAAACATAAAAGGAGAAACTGATGAGACAGAGAACAGAAAAACAACACAACTGTAACAAAAAGCCAAAATCCTACTTTTTTTTTAATGTTTATTTTTGAGAGAGAGAGAATAAGTAGGGGAGGGGCAAAGAGAGAGGAGGACAGAGGATCCGAAGTGGGCTCCATGCTGACAGCAGAGAGCCTGATGTGGGGCTTAAATTCAAACTGTGAGATCATGACCTGAGCTGAAGTCAGACACTCAACCCACTGATCCAACAAGCTCCCCCCACCCCACCTTTTTTTAAATGTTTCAATATCTACCTTTCTTTCTTTCTTTCTTTCTTTCTTTCTTTCTTTCTTTCTATCTATCTATAAAAATCCAATAACTTTTTTCTGGGACAAGATAAGTTAATGTCAAGTTCAAATACAAGAATAGTTAGGAAATCCTTAAAAAGGAAAAGTGAAGGTGCCAGTAACCCTGCTATTACAAAGACACCACCAAGCCTCCACAATCACAGCAGTGGGTGCAGACACATGAAGAGACATCCAATGGGACTCGAAAGACGACAACAACAACAACAAAAAAAGCCATGAAAGTACGGAACACAAGAAGAGTGGCATCTTGATTCACTGGGGGTAGATGGACTTTGTAATAAATGGTGTTGGGATAGCTGCTTGCACCACATACAACACAGACCAAAGTTCTAACTAAATACATGGCGCTACAAGTACTAGAAGAAAACACTGGTAAATTCTTTTACAACCTGAGTGTGAAAGGGGAAAAGCTTTTTAACACTAATATTCAAAATGTAGAAGATTCAGTGGAAAAAAATATCTATAAATGTGATTACATTAAAAAGCGCCGTTGGGGCACCTGGCTGGCTCAGTTGGTAGAGCAGGCAACTCCATCTCGGGGGCATGAGTTCAAGCCCCACGTTGGGCATAGAGATTATGTGTTTAAGAAAAACAACAAAAAAAAAAGCGCCTTTTGCTTGGGGGGAGGGGTGGACACCAGAGGCAAAAATGAGACAATAAAGCAAGAGAATATATTTCCAATGTATATCAGAGGTAAGGAGCTAATACACTAATATATAAGAACTCCGTAAAATCAAGGGGGAAAAAGACAAGAAAGAAAGAAAAATTGGCAAAAGATGGACAAAGAGAATTTATAAAACAGAAATATGGGGGCACCTCAGTGGCTCAGTCTGTTGGGCATCCGATTTTGGCTCATGTCGTGATCTCACAGTTCATAAGATCAAGCCCTGCATTCAGCTCTGTGCTGACAATGCAGAGCCTGCTCTGGATCCTCTGTCTCCCTCTCTCTGC